TATTAGGAAAAATGGATTTCACAAATATTAATAATAAGTTTGCTATTTAGTTTGGAAAGATTTATTATTTATTTACAAATTCTCATTATTTAAGCTGAATCATATTATCACACTAGAAAATTTATTATATTTTAAAATATTGCTACATTTTACAAAAATAGCAAATTCACAAAAAATTTAGAATAATAATCTCTGTTTTTACCTCCTTATTTTACATTGTTAAATCTAATATAGTAATTATGGAATTAAATTAAATGCTTAAATTCGAAAGGATCTTTTTCCCTCGAGTAGCATCACATTAAATTATTCATCATGCAATTTAATGGGTAAACAGATTGAAAATGAATAAAAAAATAATTTAATTTATAATTATAAAATAAATTTTCATCTATCCATGAAGCATATCCATGTTATTAAAAGCAAGCTATAAACTTGAGTATTTGAAGTCAGCAAATAAATACAAAGATGAATCATTATATTTATTCAATAATTAAAAAGATTATATTTGAACTCCAAAGAATAGTTTAGATATTTTTTATTTAATTCTGTTAATATAGAAATAAGAATTCCATTCTTGACTAAATTTTTATTAATTTTAAATTTGATATAAATATTCCTAAAAATAATATGGTTGTTTAAAATAATTTTAAGACTCTTAACGAATTTTTAATCATTAATATCTAAGTGATTTAGGTTTTTTAATTAATTCAAAACAAAATTATAATAGATGATAGAAAATAATAAATAGAAAATTTAATACTCTAAATATTGATTAAAAAGTAGAATCAAATATTTAACCTGAATTTATTACTTTTGATTTCTCATGTTTAAAAAAAAATATTTAGAATCTAGCAATGAGTATTTTTTCTATTAATTTCTTGAATAATTAAAAATTAAATCTGAAGATTTAGACAGAAGAATAGTAATAGTAGTTTTTTATTTCTTATTGATATAAAAATCTATCTAATGAAATATATATATTCAATTATATAACGAAAATAATATTTTTATAGAATTCATTTATAAAAATAAAATTCAGAAGAAATAATGGTTATAGAGAGTATTTTTCATACTAATGTCAAAAACAAATTTAAATATAGTGCATCTAACTTAAATGTCTTAAAAGTAATTATAATGTTATCACAAATTTTGAATTTGGCCAAAGCATCAACAATTATATATGAAAACTTTTTTAGCAGCACTTCAATAAATAGTAAATAATAATTAATAAAATTAAAGATTTAAACTCCTTTTATTACAATAATAATTGTGATTCAGTAATTAGTACTTGTGGCAGCTAAACAATCTTAAAAGTTAATTAATGCTCTCCGAATGATTATGATTTCTTAATTTATTAAACAATTGAACTTAATCCACACTATTTATTGTTCCTCTCCTTTAAATTTTGGAGGTAATAGTTATAAATAAAATTAGAATTGATTAATGGGATAATAAATATTTTACTGTATACATTGATAATAAATTAATACATGGAGCAGTATATTCACATACAAGTAGTCCATCAGATTTATGTGGAAGCACCAGTTATAATGATGAATACTATTCAATAAGTGGAATAATTGATCATTCTAGCACAACAGTTTTTATTGTAATGTTAGCTTAAAGAGGGATTTGGGGAATTTCTGAATTAGAAATATAAATTGAATAATGTCCTACTGGATGTTATTCATGTAATAAAGATCAATTTTTAGATGAATATTTGTATTTTTAGTAATTTGTAAGTAAAACTATTTCATCTATCAGTTCTTCTGAAGGTTGGATAAAAGATGGAATGGTTCAAACTAGTGTAAATGGTTGTCTTGGTAATTATATTTTTTTATATAGATTGGAAATATGGAAATGTAAATTCAGGAAAAAATTTGATGAAAGTCCTAAAGCTTGATTAGCATACTGCTATAAGTTTTTAATTAAAAGTTTTAATCTTTAATTCAAATCCAATAAATGTTTTTATCAAAATAGATGATGTAATAGTATTTTAGACTGAATATTCTAATGGATGGATAAATATTAATCATGCTGAAGAATTATGTGTATTTATGCAAATGAAGAATATTAAAATTCATTAATACACACACATTAATTAATAAATTTAAATATCTGTTTTATTGAATGAAAATTCTAAATTTGGAATAAGAGATTTTCAATTATTTTTAGGTACTAGTTATTTTCAAAATATGTGTGCTGATTATAATTTATTAGCCTTTGATAGTTGTTTTTCAAATATATATGATTGTGTTGAAGGTTGTAGTAATTGTATTAAAGGTGAATGTTGGGATTGTTAAGAGGGTTGGGAATATAATAGATATTTAAGAATTTGTATTCCAATTTGTGGAGATTCAAAAATAATCAATTATGAATAATGTGATGATGGAAACTAAACGCCTAATGATGGATGTCATTTATGTATATATTCTTGTATATAACATTGTTTTTTATGTTAATTTGGAATTTGTCATTAATGCAATCCTACATATAGATTATCAGCTGATTAGACAATTTGCATAAGAATTGATAATGACTAAGATGAATAAAACTTTATTTAAACTTAAAAATTTTAAAGTGATTTACGATTATGCTCAATAGAGTGCTAAATTTGTTAAGAATGTTCGGATATATAAGAGAATAGTTGCTACCATATTTGTCAATAGAAAATAGAAGAATCATTAGAAACAGTGGAAGAAAATAAAGAAGAGGAAGAATAAGAATAAGAAGAAGAGGAAATGGATGAGAATCTTAATATTGAGTGCATGTCTTATTGTTTACAATGTGCAGATTAGTATTCTTGTTTATAATGTGAAGCTAATTTTTAATTAGAAGATAAATAATGCTTCCCAATTTGTGGTGATGGTATCATTATTTAAGGATATGAGGATTGTGAAGATGGAAATAATGATCCATACGATGGATGTTATTAATGTTAATTTCAATGTTCATTTGGATGCATAAGTTGTGAATAAGGCAATATTTGTAGAAAATGTGATAATTTAACTATTTTAAATAATGATACTGGATAATGTGAAAAAGAAGATATTTACAATTCTAATTAATTTACTGAGGAGAATAATACAAACTCAAATAGTATATTAGGAATATAAAATTCAATTTTAGATGATAATTAATGTGGAAATGGTATACTTAATAACAATTATGAATTATGTGATGATGGGAATAATGTTGGAGATGATGGATGCTCAAGTATGTGTCTAATTGAAGATAACTGGAACTGTAAAAATTAATTCTATCAAAGTATATGCTTTCCCAAAACATAACTTTNTACATTGATAATAAATTAATACATGGAGCAGTATATTCACATACAAGTAGTCCATCAGATTTATGTGGAAGCACCAGTTATAATGATGAATACTATTCAATAAGTGGAATAATTGATCATTCTAGCACAACAGTTTTTATTGTAATGTTAGCTTAAAGAGGGATTTGGGGAATTTCTGAATTAGAAATATAAATTGAATAATGTCCTACTGGATGTTATTCATGTAATAAAGATCAATTTTTAGATGAATATTTGTATTTTTAGTAATTTGTAAGTAAAACTATTTCATCTATCAGTTCTTCTGAAGGTTGGATAAAAGATGGAATGGTTCAAACTAGTGTAAATGGTTGTCTTGGTAATTATATTTTTTTATATAGATTGGAAATATGGAAATGTAAATTCAGGAAAAAATTTGATGAAAGTCCTAAAGCTTGATTAGCATACTGCTATAAGTTTTTAATTAAAAGTTTTAATCTTTAATTCAAATCCAATAAATGTTTTTATCAAAATAGATGATGTAATAGTATTTTAGACTGAATATTCTAATGGATGGATAAATATTAATCATGCTGAAGAATTATGTGTATTTATGCAAATGAAGAATATTAAAATTCATTAATACACACACATTAATTAATAAATTTAAATATCTGTTTTATTGAATGAAAATTCTAAATTTGGAATAAGAGATTTTCAATTATTTTTAGGTACTAGTTATTTTCAAAATATGTGTGCTGATTATAATTTATTAGCCTTTGATAGTTGTTTTTCAAATATATATGATTGTGTTGAAGGTTGTAGTAATTGTATTAAAGGTGAATGTTGGGATTGTTAAGAGGGTTGGGAATATAATAGATATTTAAGAATTTGTATTCCAATTTGTGGAGATTCAAAAATAATCAATTATGAATAATGTGATGATGGAAACTAAACGCCTAATGATGGATGTCATTTATGTATATATTCTTGTATATAACATTGTTTTTTATGTTAATTTGGAATTTGTCATTAATGCAATCCTACATATAGATTATCAGCTGATTAGACAATTTGCATAAGAATTGATAATGACTAAGATGAATAAAACTTTATTTAAACTTAAAAATTTTAAAGTGATTTACGATTATGCTCAATAGAGTGCTAAATTTGTTAAGAATGTTCGGATATATAAGAGAATAGTTGCTACCATATTTGTCAATAGAAAATAGAAGAATCATTAGAAACAGTGGAAGAAAATAAAGAAGAGGAAGAATAAGAATAAGAAGAAGAGGAAATGGATGAGAATCTTAATATTGAGTGCATGTCTTATTGTTTACAATGTGCAGATTAGTATTCTTGTTTATAATGTGAAGCTAATTTTTAATTAGAAGATAAATAATGCTTCCCAATTTGTGGTGATGGTATCATTATTTAAGGATATGAGGATTGTGAAGATGGAAATAATGATCCATACGATGGATGTTATTAATGTTAATTTCAATGTTCATTTGGATGCATAAGTTGTGAATAAGGCAATATTTGTAGAAAATGTGATAATTTAACTATTTTAAATAATGATACTGGATAATGTGAAAAAGAAGATATTTACAATTCTAATTAATTTACTGAGGAGAATAATACAAACTCAAATAGTATATTAGGAATATAAAATTCAATTTTAGATGATAATTAATGTGGAAATGGTATACTTAATAACAATTATGAATTATGTGATGATGGGAATAATGTTGGAGATGATGGATGCTCAAGTATGTGTCTAATTGAAGATAACTGGAACTGTAAAAATTAATTCTATCAAAGTATATGCTTTCCCAAAACATAACTTTTATTAACATATTTAAATCATTCAAATTCTTATTAATATGTTGAATTATCTTTTAGTAATTAAGTAAAAACTATGTAATCTAATGTTAATTTTATTGATTGCATTGATATCAAATTATCGACCAAAAATTACAGTTTTTTGATTAAAGAAGTAGTTGGGATTAGCTAATAGATTTTATCTATTCCTATTTATTAAATTTAAATTAATTTTTATGATTCAATAGTTAATCCAATATTATCAATATCTATCAATTCAAAATTAAATGATATTAATAATTTTGAAGTGAGCAACTATAAAAAAAATATCACACTTTAATCTGTTCTAATTTTGAGTAGTATTTAGAAGAATGCTGCAGTTAAAATTTATCATTTTGGTTTTTGGATGATGATTGGTTTGGGTTCAGGCAGTGCATTTCTCATTTTGTTTGGTGAAATTCTGCAATTCTCTGAGATATTGGATATTTTATAATTTTAATCTTATCAAAGATTTATAAATGTAAAATATCCAGAAAACATGGAAATTTATTTTTAGACTTCAGAACTTGTAACAGTTACCCCTGTTTTGATGAATTTAAAATTCATTGATTTTTTTGATAAAATTATAGGATATTAATTTATTGATAGTGTGGGTAAACTTCATGAATATAATATTAATTCAGCATATTTATCTCCCCTATATATAATAAATATGATTTTATATTTGTCCTTTAAATCATAACCTAATGATTAATACAATTTGATTACCTTTATCATATAACTCTTTACATAATTTAATAGAATTATCATCAATCTAATAATAATTAAATTATGATAATTATCATTATTAGTATAAATTATTAAATGTATCAGTTAATTTCTTAGTCGATTCTGAAATGATTGTTGTGATTGATTATTTATACTCAATTAATTTAATTATTGAATTTGAATGTAATAATTTTTCCTTGATAAAGAATATTTATTTCTGATTCCCATTTTTAATAAAGTAAATGATTGATTCAAACTGTATACATATGTATTAAGATCATTAATCAAATTATCACATTCTATATTTTGACTATCAATAAAATTCATCAAAGTATTAATCTTTTTAATTTCTTCACAATAACCACGATGGATACTACATTTCTTCATACATTAAAAGCAATTCAATCTAAATTCTGTACAATACTGGTTGTAACAAACTGTTTCTATCTCATCCTTATGATCATCTTATTCACATTTTAAGTTAAAATTTGATTACTAAATCATATTTTTAATATTTTATTTTTAATATATATTCATATACACTATCATTTATATTATCTTAATTATATTAAGACTCATTATAGTATCTAATCCTTTTTCTTAAGATTTATACAAATGTTTAAAAAAATTTACACTTAATTTACACAAAAAAACATAAATACTTATGGATAAATGAAAAAGCTTATTTTTAAAAGATTGAATAAAATATATAAATTCTCCTCTTAATCCGCTCTTCTTATTGGTCTTTTAATTTACTTAGATGCAACAAAGGAGTATTCCAGTTTCTCAAGAATTATTTTACAACATTTTAAAAGAATATTTTTATTTTTATGATTCTAGTATAACATTGATTTTAAATCCTTTATCGATAGTTATTTGATTGATTTAACCATTAAATTATTATTTAATTTACATCTAATGCTATATTAAGTTGTATTATAATTTAATAATGTTTATATCACTAAAAGTTTTAATATTGTTAAATTTTAAGACTTTAATTAAATATGATACAAAAAATAAATGAATTAAGAATTTTCAAATTGCTTTTATACTTGTTTATTATTGATTCTCCACCATAATTGAATTAAAATATGTTTAAATAGATTTTCTATATTTGAAATTCCCCGATTAGGATTATCCTTTAGCATTTAAATCAGAATTATGATATATACCATATTTAGATAGACTTTTTTTAATTAATTTAGATGATTATTTCGGGCTTTATTTATTACTAAAATAGAATTATTTTATTAAATATCCATCTATTTAATTGAGTCCCATATTTTAATATAATATTCAAATTATTGATGATAATTTTAAAGCTAAAATAAAATAAAATTAAAGCCTCCTTTTATAATGGCTAGCCTTAGTTAAAAATTCATCACCGTTTTTAAAAAAGAGTATATTACTCAAAACGCTAAATATGGCTAATAAAAGTTATCTTTATATAAATATTAAAAGAAAATTTCAATTTTGTTGCTTTGTCATCCTTTTTCTAATGATCAAAAATGCTTCCTTGGATTCCAATTTGATTATAAATTTCTCTAAAAGTTATTAGATGTACACCCTAGCTCCATATTCCTTACTTTTATCCAATTAACTGTCATTCTTTTAGGAAATATCTCCTCTGTCTCTAAATCACTCAAATTTTATTGATTTCCTATGAATGATATTTTTAACATGAAGGCATCCCTACTTTCATTTTAAGGATCAATTTATATTAATCCTGATTAAACTCATCTGAAGTAAGCAATTATAAGGTTATGTCTAAGCATTTCTTTATTAAAATATTTAATAATTCATAATGATATTATTTCAGATTAGATTCCTAAAAAGTAAATTGAAATTTGGAATAAATAAAGCAGTAATAATCATCTTTCTAAATAATGAAAGAGCTTTGGTGAATATGATAAATTTATTCTTGCTTGATGCTAAAAAGATGAATAAAATCATAATGCATTGTTTTTGAATTATTTGCCTATTGAGATTTTAATAAAAATTAAAGATAGGAGAACATCACAAATTATGAAGGAAATTTATAGGATTTAAGGTGNCTCATTATAGTATCTAATCCTTTTTCTTAAGATTTATACAAATGTTTAAAAAAATTTACACTTAATTTACACAAAAAAACATAAATACTTATGGATAAATGAAAAAGCTTATTTTTAAAAGATTGAATAAAATATATAAATTCTCCTCTTAATCCGCTCTTCTTATTGGTCTTTTAATTTACTTAGATGCAACAAAGGAGTATTCCAGTTTCTCAAGAATTATTTTACAACATTTTAAAAGAATATTTTTATTTTTATGATTCTAGTATAACATTGATTTTAAATCCTTTATCGATAGTTATTTGATTGATTTAACCATTAAATTATTATTTAATTTACATCTAATGCTATATTAAGTTGTATTATAATTTAATAATGTTTATATCACTAAAAGTTTTAATATTGTTAAATTTTAAGACTTTAATTAAATATGATACAAAAAATAAATGAATTAAGAATTTTCAAATTGCTTTTATACTTGTTTATTATTGATTCTCCACCATAATTGAATTAAAATATGTTTAAATAGATTTTCTATATTTGAAATTCCCCGATTAGGATTATCCTTTAGCATTTAAATCAGAATTATGATATATACCATATTTAGATAGACTTTTTTTAATTAATTTAGATGATTATTTCGGGCTTTATTTATTACTAAAATAGAATTATTTTATTAAATATCCATCTATTTAATTGAGTCCCATATTTTAATATAATATTCAAATTATTGATGATAATTTTAAAGCTAAAATAAAATAAAATTAAAGCCTCCTTTTATAATGGCTAGCCTTAGTTAAAAATTCATCACCGTTTTTAAAAAAGAGTATATTACTCAAAACGCTAAATATGGCTAATAAAAGTTATCTTTATATAAATATTAAAAGAAAATTTCAATTTTGTTGCTTTGTCATCCTTTTTCTAATGATCAAAAATGCTTCCTTGGATTCCAATTTGATTATAAATTTCTCTAAAAGTTATTAGATGTACACCCTAGCTCCATATTCCTTACTTTTATCCAATTAACTGTCATTCTTTTAGGAAATATCTCCTCTGTCTCTAAATCACTCAAATTTTATTGATTTCCTATGAATGATATTTTTAACATGAAGGCATCCCTACTTTCATTTTAAGGATCAATTTATATTAATCCTGATTAAACTCATCTGAAGTAAGCAATTATAAGGTTATGTCTAAGCATTTCTTTATTAAAATATTTAATAATTCATAATGATATTATTTCAGATTAGATTCCTAAAAAGTAAATTGAAATTTGGAATAAATAAAGCAGTAATAATCATCTTTCTAAATAATGAAAGAGCTTTGGTGAATATGATAAATTTATTCTTGCTTGATGCTAAAAAGATGAATAAAATCATAATGCATTGTTTTTGAATTATTTGCCTATTGAGATTTTAATAAAAATTAAAGATAGGAGAACATCACAAATTATGAAGGAAATTTATAGGATTTAAGGTGATTGTTTGTGCATAGAATGATAATTTTAAGTTTTGTAAGTTTAGAAAGAATATATTTTGGATCAATTACTAAACATAATATAGATTCAAAATTATTGAAAATATTTATTATATGCACATAAGAATAAAATTATAGCAGAGAGTTAGATTGCTATAAAGAAGTAATATTTCTTATAAGAAGTAAGTGACTGCCAAAATGAAATTTATTTTGTATCAATAATAGTAAAAATTACTAATACCTAAATATCATTGATATACAATGAAATATGTAATCTACTCTACAATCTAATATTATAACCATAAAAATGCATATACTTAGAAATCTTTTTAGAGAAAAACTTTCAATAATAGTCTACCAATAAAAAAGATCTAATGAATTTTCCTAATAGCTGGAATTAATTTGAAAAAGTATTCCTTAAGGTTTTGAAATTTAAATTAATTTGGAATAACTTCAAATTATGACTATTTCATTCCTCTGAGAAGAAAAGCTCAATCTTGCTCATTATTTTAAATATCTAAATTATTCTAATTAACTTAATTTAAAAAATGAATGATTCCAAAATAGATTTATATTCTTAAATAAAAAATAGAATATAAATTAGGAAAAAAAAATCGTAGATATAATAAATGAGTAAATTAACTTGTTTAAATTAATATTATGCTTTAATTGACTCTGATTATAAAGAATTCAAGGGTCTGTGAGAAAGGATTTGGATTTAAAATTATGGATTCAATAATAAATCAATGACTAAAACTTTTAATGTATATCAAGGTACTAAGATAAAATATGAATTATTAATATTATTAGGATATATTGAAGAATTAGCTTTATGTTTAAGATTGAAATGAAATCAATTTATTTGAAAGAGTTCAAATTATAATTTGTTTTGAATCGGAGTTATAAAACTGAATTAACAAAAATCATATAGTGACATAAGCTTAACCTCACTCTTCTTAATTGAATAATAATATTGCCTTTGTTAACTCATATATATGCTCGATCTGAAAAGTTTAAAGACAACTAACAATAAATGTAGAATAAGATTAAAAATCAAATTTATTTCAGAATACATCTATTTCACAATATACAAGCTAATATTAAATGAAGAAGATCTAAATTTAAATTATAATATTATTAATAATATTTTTATAACAAAAAATAAAAAGGATAACTCTACTTAAAAGAATAATAGGTTTATAATTTAAAAAAAACATAAAGAAAACAAACAATATAATTAGATTAATACATTTGTATTAATATAATATATATGAAACTTTATGTTCATATATATACTCCATCACCCTTAACTTAAGTAATTCAACATCCAATCAATTTTAATTTATGGAGATATTTAAGTGTTGAGTCTTTGAAAATCAATACTTGATCACTAGCTATTTCTTCGTACAATTTCTTTTTTTTGCGGCTATTAGAAATTGCTTTTATTAGTCTTCTTAATGAAATCAACTTTTTATTTGGTTCAAAATCAAGCTTTCCCAGATTCCTCACCAAAATATCTAATTAGGTCTTTTTTACAAAGTTAATGTTGTTTACAAGGATTTTAGTTTCTTAATCTATTATATTTATACTTAATTACGCTACTTGCTATTAAGCTAGTTATTTTAATATTATTTGAGATCTGATTTCTTTGAATAATCTACTAGTATTTTAATTCACTTCTTTTGTTATACTACTAATCAATTTTGTTTTATTAAAATTCAAATATCTGATATAATTATATCCATTCATATCTTCACCCTGTTAACTTTCATACAGTTATCATCAAAAATAAAATGATATTGATTAATCTAGTATTTTATCCAATTAAAATCTTATATTTCTTTCATCTTTTTGATACCTTAATTTCATTATGAATGGGATTTAAATATTCATATTTATGAACTTCTCAAAATTTTTAATTCCTCTTAATAGTTTCAATGCTGAAAATAGATGTTTGTTTTTTCATGAAATTAAATGTATAACAATTTCTTGTATTTTCATTTTGTCTTATCTTAAGAAATTTTAGATTTTTAATTGTAAATTCTATTGAAAATTATTTAAAAACTGAAATAGGTATAAAAAATAGTTCAGTAATTATTTCTTTATATTAAATAATTTTATCTATTTTCTAAAAACTTTATTTCAGATGAAATTCAGCTCCAAATTAAGAAAGAAAGAGGTAATGGAATAACAAACCTGCCAAAAGAAGATTCTAATCTTTAAGAATCACCAATGTTCAGCCTTGCTTGGGGAAAGCAGAAATTTAATATAAAATGGATGAAGTCTTTCAATACCAACCCTCCCTAATACAGCCATAGCTNTAGGTTCATGTTTAAGAAAGTTAAATCAATATGAAGATGCAATCAATTGGTTGGAAAAAGTATTAGCTATTGAACCTAAGCATGTTAATTCCTTAAGTGAGAAAGGTAACTGAATAATAAATATATTAATAGGTTAATGCTTAAGATTGCTGAAAAAATATAATGAATCTTTAGAATTACTTGATTAAGCACTGTCCATCAATTCGCAACATACGTTTTCCCTTAATCGCAAAGGTATCATAACATTGTATTTGTTTTAGGAGATTGTTTAAGAGATTTATAACAATATAAAGAAGCTCTAATTTATTATGAGAAATCATTAAAGATTGAGCCAAATAATCAATATACAATAATCTAAAAATGTATGCTTTATTTATTAAATTAGAATTTTGCTAAAAGAGATAGAATAAATGAATATTAAATATTAAAAATAATTATATCATAATATTGTTTCGTCTTAAATTTTTTATAATTGATTTATGCTTGTATTCTATACAGTTAGTGATATGTATTTTGTTCTTAATTATAGATCTTTTATAAATATTATTATTATTATTATTATTATTATTATTATTATTATTATTATTATTATTATTATTATGAACATTATTATTATTAAAGTATTTCAATAAATATTAATGATGCAAGTATGAATTACTAAATTATAGACTGTTAAATTCAACTTACAATAGAATGATCATCTTTCGATAATTATGTTATTTATATTAAAAATATTTATAATGCTTGATTTTTTTAATTTACTTTAAATATCATCTATTTCTAAAATTTTAGATATGTTTTATTTGACAACAATAATGATTTAAATACCAAATTCAATGCCGAGATTTCTTGTAATAAGGAATATATTTACTTTTTATAAATAAGATAAATAAATTCTCAATTACATTTAAAAATACAAAAGAATAACACTCATCGGAACAGTAAGAAGACAGAAGATTGTAAACATATTGTTATTTGGAAGTTTTTGTTCAAATTGTTAGTTTTACTCTATAATTAATCTATAGTTAAATAGAATGTAATTAATTTTAAATTATTAAAAGAAGGATTTAGATTTTAAAACAACTTCAGTTTGTAGAATTATTTCGATTTTCTTGAAAATACCTTGAAGATACGTTTTGATAATCTAATAACTTATGTTAATAAGTAATGAATTTGAGAAATTTCAAATGTGATAGCTAGAATAATTTATTCAAATTTTCTGAAGGTTAATTGAGATGGTTTGTCAAGATAAGAATAGTTGTATCACTAGTTTAAAAAATAATAATTAAAATCATAAAAAACTAAGAGCAACCAATTAAAGAAAGCATAATTAGTAATCCTTCTTCCTTAAGTGAATTATTGTGTTTTAGCTAAAAATAATTTTAGTGATATTTTTGTGTTATTAATAATGAGAGTTTGAAAACATTATCTGAATTATCTCTATTATTAAAGAATAAGTAAATATGGATATTTATTTTCAATTTTTATTTAAGTTTAATTTTGAAAATGTATTAAATTACTCTCTTTACTCAAGTAATAAATTATTATTAAAAAATGTATTAATTCTTAATATTACTGGAAACTAAAAAATAAGAGGTACTAAATGATCTTGGAGAAAAGAAACAAGAAATATTGAATTAATTTGGATAAAACAGTTCACAATGTTCACCTTTAAAAGAGAAAACTTGAGAAACAAAATTAGATACAAAGATTAGAACTAATTTTTACTTAAAATAAGTCGAGATCTATGGTATAGAAAGCCGAGAATTTAGAGAATGCAATAAGCATGATAGACAAGATGCTATATTTAAACATCCCTATGATGTTCATACTTACAAAAAAAATGCAGCCTTCATGACTTTTATACATCAATATTTTCGTTCACTTCTGGAAATATTGACTCTTTTAATTTGAGAAGATAAACAGAATAATAAATCCTGTTACATGGAAGAAAAGAGAAAAATAGAAAAATATATCCACCTATTATACATTGCTTATTTAAATAAGTTTAGTTGATTATAAAAACGTAAGCATGAGATCCTCTTTGGAAAATTAATTAAGTATAAAATTTACCTTCAATAATAGGGGAAACATTATTTAATAAAGTATTCATAAACAGTAAAGGTTTTAAATGAGGAGTAAAATCATCTAAGATAATAAGAGATTGTAGTGGATATATAATAAATTATTTAACACTATTTATAATAAGTCAATAATTTATAATTAATTGACCTGAATTCAAAGATATCAGAGAGACTCTAGTAATCAATTAAGAAAAAATAGAATAAATTATAAAAGAAATATAAGTAATTGAATTAAAATGAAAGCATTTTACTATATAAGAGAAAAATCCAAGCACTTGTAAGTAAGAATTCAAGAACGAGAAAAGATTAAAATGATTTTTCACAAGGATAAATTCTAAAAAATAACATTAATTAAGAATTATTAGTGAATAATTTACATAATATACCAAAGAGTGGATTAGTAACACACTTTTATGCTAATAATTTTAGTAGGTACCCAAAAAAACTGGGTATGAATTAATAAGGATAAGTTTATGGAATGTAAGCTCTTTTAAACCAACTTATTTAAAAGAAATAAAAAATACCCTCTCATATAAAGGAGATTAGAGGGAAAACTATTTAAATTCGCCTGGATATAGTTTTTTATAAAAATTAGGCTTGAGTAGTCATTAAGGAGGAGTAGCCTTAGAAGTTCACTTTTCGATTAATTTTATAACTATTACCTAAAAGATTAAGTCTCCTAACTCACAGAATTATGAATTTTTAGCTATACATTGTAAGTCCAAAATTATTGATTTTCTAGTTTGTAGCTTTAATGTTAATACAAGTGTTATATTTAATTAAGAAAACACACTTTATTTTTATGGAGCAAAAATTTGATTTCAATTTAAAATCAACTCAGAAAATTAATTATATGTGGCGATTTCAATTGTCCAGAATTAAATATTCCTTTATTTACATACTCTATTTATCCTGAAATTAAAACCTTTTATAGATAATAGTTTGGACGAATTCTGATATCTAGAATTTATAGTTGTATAACCAGAAACCTTACAAAAACAAATTTTAAATGTAGTTTTAATAATTTTTCAGACCTTAGTTTAATAGAAATATCCAAAAACTTTATCAATAATCAAATCAAGAGCATTGAATGATATTTAGTAAAAAATCAAGCTTATTTATTAAACTAGCAGGCTAATCATTTTAAAAAGGTTGCTTGTTGGTCTCATTACTTAAGAATTAATTTAAGAAAAATGAAAGTCATCTTAAAAAAAGAATAACTTTATCAAGATAAAAAAACCTTTGCGAAATACCTCATTAACTATTAGAATTTACGTATATTCTTATTAAATAGCCAATAGTAAAGATGCATTTAAGCCAATTAAACCTTTAGCAACACTTAATCCCAATAAAAGAAAAGGAGGCTTATTTAGATGTTTTAAAAATGAGAATGGAAACTTTTAATGTGATCCCTTTTCTGACTTTAATTTTGCCTTCATTGCTTATGTTTTATTCAAGTGTGGTTTAAGAGTTATAAAAATTGATGTCCAAAGATGAAAATCTGATAAACTTATCAAGAATTCAAAGAGTTTTATCCATTAATTGACTTATGGTCATCAAATGAATTTTTTTTAATTTTTAACACCTCTTTTTTCTGCAAACTATACAATTTATACTAAAATCCTTAATATAACTTTCTCAATGACTATGTTTTTGAAAATACATTGATAATTAAAAATGATTTCTTTGAATTAGATATTCATCAAATATTTAACTTTTAAATTAATATTTAAATTTGTGTAATTTTATTCTGCTTTTATTATTCTATTCTTATTTAATCTATATCTTCTAAGAATTAACCTAGAATTTAAATCTCATAAAACATCCTACTTGTTATGATCTTCAAAAGCATGTGTAAATGATGATATTATCATTAGTAAATATATAATTTTCATTTGACATCATTTTATAATCATAATGATATATTTTGGTATTTATTTCTTGAATAAAGAATGATTTGGTTGTTGTAAGTACAAAACATTAATCATCCAATTTTTTTCTGGAAGAAGAGATTGGCCAAATCCCTATGGTTTACCAATCTATATTTCTTAAAAGGTGGTCTATAATAATTATGAACTTGCTTTATCTAGCAGCTATCCTATTTTGATCTCTGATTGCTTAATTCAAAAAACTTTGTCCGCCATAATTTTGAATAAAAAATCTGCTGTTATTACAACGTTTGTCCTTTTGGGAGCGTAAAATTATTTAAAAAATGATCGCAAAATATGCAGAACCCTTTAATCAATCGCTGCATTGGCTTATCAAAGAATTATAAATATTTTAATTCAAATTAAAGTTTTTTTTTTTGAATTCAGAATTTGTAGCCAAAATTCAAATTTAATTAAATTAATACTAAACGAAAGATTTAAATTATAAATACATATTAATTAAAAGTAGCATATTAATTTTTGATTATGAAATTCAAAATTTAAAAAAATTGCGTTTTTTTCAAGTGACAATTAAAGACATTTTGTTGAAAGATCATATGTGGAGAGGAATTTTTGGATTAGCATGTATATTCCTAAATTTTTATCTTAAATTAGTTTAAAAATCATGTTTAAACTACACATTATCAAAGATTAGGCTAAAACATTATATTAAAGCCTAATGGACTAAATATAAGATTAGTAAATTAAATAAAAAAATTATAAAAAAGTAGTAAAACAAATGCACTGCTTTTGAAAAACCAATCAAGATGCATTAAAAATAAAATAAATTATACAAAAAATGCAAAACTAAATAATAATATAAAAATCTTGAATCATGAGCATTCAAGTTTCTGTTTTGTTAACATAAAGAATATATAAAGTAAATTAACATAAAAATAGACATATA